TTCAATAGCTTTATGATTACACCACACTGTCTCTAAAAACGATGTGCCGTCCACATCGATCGACTGCGTAGTTCGTTATATTATTACATGGCGTCAGTGGCGGCTATCCTATACTCAAGGTGTATCCGTCGATACACCTTATAATTGGGTGGGTGGGTGGTAAATTATTGGTTAGGCACTAAATTGTATACCATTGTATACCAGAGTTGGTGGGTAGGTAACTAAACTCAAAATTTGATACACCTTTATTTTGTTTGATAGCCGCCACTGCTTCAACTCAGTTTTGATTGTATTTTGAATAAAATAACAAGTTGATGGTATAATGATAGTTTATTTGTATTTATTTAACACGTAAAATAGACTAAGTCCAAATAATTATAAATATAATTATAATTATAATAATAATTAATTTATAAAAATGTGGTAAACGAGATGTGACTTAGTATCGACTTGGTGGCTAGAGCAGCTCTTCTGCTCGGCTGGTGTTTGTCTGATGGACACTTGTCCATCGACGTATTTCGTCGGTATTCCTAATAGATCCCTCCTATGGCATTTTTAGTATAAAAATGGTACACGCGCCGCATCCGCCTGAGGTCATTTTTGACGTCTTTTATGAAAAAATGTTAATTACGGATTATATGTTTCCAAAGTTATCTATTTGTACTGTTTACGGCTTTTTCGTCTTTCCTAGAATATGGATATTGCGCGCGTACCTATACCTATCCCGTGTTCGCGCTGTACCATTAAATATTAATTAGTTCTTATCGATGTGGCCGCTCGGATGCTGATATTATTACTATTACCGGGGTTACGTACTCCCTGCAGCATTTATGTATATTATTGAATATAATATATATATTATAATCGTATTTTACCTAATACAATATAATATCATATATTATTGAAAAAAAAAAATCGGCATTGGAGGGGAACTCTAAGTGGTACAGCTTAAGGTGCGTTTAGACGGCGCGAGTCAAACTCGCGAGTATGACTCGTGAGTCATACTCACGCATCACCACCGTGAGCGAGTCCCGCGAATATGATCATGGTGAGTCGTGACTCGCCTAGATAAAGGGTGAGCCGTCAATAGGATACTAATTAAAACGTTTACACGGCGCGAAACAAAAGTGCGAATCGCCTTTGACGCGCACCTCGAGACCGACTGACTGACGGCTCGCCGCGCATCCGCCTCGCGAGTCGTGATTCGCGTTCTACAGCCGTCTACACGTCACGAGGATTGATGAGCGAGTCTGTACTGCTCAAGCTGCAGAACCTCCTCACACAGTAGCGAACGGTCATCCGCTCGTCCGCATTTACGCCGCCGAGTATCATCGCCGGTACGCACCGAATTTTGCTACCAAACTCGCCGTCATGAGCGCTCGTATCACCGCCGCTGATTTCCATATTTTAATTACCTATTATCGCACGCTGTATATCACGTCCCATAACTATTATTTTGCTTATTTCGCGCGCATCGTCGCTGTTGCCGTCGCGAACACACAGCTATTATAATTGTTATTGCACGAATATTATTTCGGTGTAAAATAACACGTTAGTAAATTGTAAATGAAGGACAATAAATAATTATAAGTACTGTAAAATAACAAAATATATTGTAAACATAATGATCTCATAATGAAATTTTTCATATAAAAAAATTTCAATTTATTGTGTGAAACAAAATAAAAGTCTTGTCATTTCAATAAACTTATTTATTTATTAATAAATCATAATCATCAGTAGTTTGATTCTTTTTATTAAATATAAGAAATTTGTTTCATAAATATTTCTTAAACGTTTAATAAAAAAAATTACTTTTAACTAAAGAGTAGAAAATAAAAAATAAATTTTTTTTTTTAAAAACACTTCTAAAAACATTTAAAAAAATATATTAAAACATTTTTTTTTTAAATTGAGCTAAAAAATATTTTAAAAATTGCACTAAAACTACAAAAATAATATTCTGTACAAAAAAATAATGAAAAATTTAAAAGTGTGTGGTGCATCATACAAAACATTTAAAGCCGAGCTAAGTCTCACATACACTTCTTTGTTCAATCCTGTTTATAAGATAGTGACTGCGGGAGAATATGTCATCAAGTGAAGAGCACCACACACTTTTAATTTTTCATTATTTTTTTGTACAGAAAATTATCTTTGTCTTTTTAGTGCAATTTTTAATATATTTTTTTAAATGTTTTTTTTAGAAAAGTGTGTTTTTTTATATTTTTTTATTTTTTTATTATAATACGATCGGAAAATGTGACGGTGCTGCAGCGACGGATTAAGAGTTAAAGACGCAAAATAAATATAAAATTTCTAAAATAATTTATATTTTAATTATAATTTAAATTAAAATGTTTACAGTGTAGTAAAAAAAAATAATATGTACTTTTATTACGAGGAATAGAATTAACAATGTTGAAAAAAACTATTTAAAATACAATATATTTATATAAATATTTTTTTCTGCTAACTTTTCCGCTTGTGGAATTGTATTTGTATCAAATAATATTATAATATTAATAATTTAAATTGGGCGGCCAGTGATATTGTGATATTGTGATAATGTAATTTGTTGTTTATTCTAAGCCCAACTGGTATGCTATTTTTCATTCGTGATAGTGATATAAATAGTTTTTTTTTCTAGTGATATAAACCGTTTTCATTTACTGTCTGGTAATAAACTAATAACGTTCGTATAATATTATGTACGTTCGTACGTCATATAATAATCGTTGTCACCATAGTGTTTCTATAGACACCCATTATCTATATTGTATTATTGTATCGTCTTCTGTCGGTCAAATTTTGACTGCATATTGGTTTAATGAATACCTAATGTTTATTCAGTTTATTGTTTATACAAATTTTTGCTGTGTTTTTGTGGTTGCCAATTTGCCACCTGTGTTGTATATTATACAATGAGGAAGTCTATACATGGAACGTCAGTAAAAAACATTATTTGAATATACTTACATTTGAATTTTTTACCATTGTTATTTAGATTAATTCATCTTGAACTATATTATAATATTATGATTTTCTCATATAGAATTTATTCGAAATTGATTATTGTTTTTTTGTTAAACTTTTGCTATTCGCAAGAGTTTAAAGGATTCGATGACACTATACTGTACAAAATAAACTGGCCAGGTAAAGATGTCACTGATCGATTGGCAAAGGTGAGTTTTTAACATTTGAAACTTCGAAATAAATAATTATTATTGAATAAATATTTTAGTAATGCACAGTTGTAATTAAGAATAAATGATATAAATATAAATTCTATGTTCTTGGAAAACATACTACTAATTTTTTGATTGATGCCCCCCAACAAAATTTTAATTGTTGTGACTTATCTATGGTCCAACTATCCTGTAAAATGACTTCATTTTAGAGAACAATACTGAAATCATAGAATTTTTTTAAGAAGTAGGCCTACTTCTTGACATCTTCTTGAAATTACAACTACACATACAATTATAAATTTTATTTTTGAGTTAAGCTGCCAGCTGCCAATTTTCAAAATCTTCCACAATCCTATACAATTTGAAAATCATATTTTATATATTAATTGCTACTATAATTATAATACTTTTCAACTAATCTACTGCTTGGTACCTATTTAGGAAGGGTGGATACGGTTTATTATATCGATAAAAATGACTTTAATAGTAAGCTCTCAGGCCTTGTAGAATTGTAGGATTTTGATAAATATTATTTAACTTGAAAGAAGAAGACTTCCTACAGACCGCCTTGAAGTCTGATATTTATTTTGTTCAAAATAAAAATAAAATTTGTAAAAATAGCTTAAAATAGTTTTATTCTTAAATAATACATATTATAAAGTTTGAAATTAAAATATTGAAACACAAAGTTCAATACTTCAATGTGATCTGTAGAATATTATCCTCTATTAATAAAAAAAAATTATCAAATTTGGTTGATTCTACAGGACAGGAATATTATTTCCGTATAGTGTATTTTTATTGACAAAATAACATTGGCACCATGCACTTTAATTTAAATTTATGAGACCAGTGACCTGACACGTTTACACCTGATCAAAATAACTTATGGTTCATTTTTCAGGAACAAGACGAAAACACGTTAAATGTAATAACAGCTATTGGTGAATCATATCAATGTTTTTTACCAAAGCAAGATAAAGTACATAAAGAACCCGACACAACTTATAATGGACCTAGCCCATTGGAACTGTTATCACCATTATTCACAAAACAAGCTTGCTCTTATAGAGTAAGCGATATATTCTATAACTACCATTTAAAATATTTGAATTTGAATTTTTTTTATTAACAGGGGGATACTTATTGGAATTATGAGGTATGCCATGGGAGGCATGTCCGTCAATATCATAACGATCCCGAGGAGAAGGACCAAAAAGAGGAAGAGTACTTCCTAGGAAAATGGAAAATGATTGATAGTCTTAAATTAGGTAAACTTACGTACAAAGAATTTGAAATAAATTTGAGACAAATTAATCAGAAAATGATATTAGGTACCAGATTAAGGTATAAATATATTTGTGTAAAAATAACCAATCTTTAGTTACGCATATTGTGATAAGTTACTTCATTATATTATATGGTTTTACAGAGGAGGAACTGAAAAGATTAGCAAATTTAAATCATCCAGGACGAACAATGACAAGAAAAGTTGAAGGTGTAAACTTACCCTATTTTAAAATGAGCATGTCTGACGGCACAGTTTGTGACCTCAGTGGCCAACCAAGACAAACCAATGTCTTGTATGTTTGTTATCCTCAAAGAAAACATAATGTGTTTTCAGTAAAAGAAACATCCATATGCCAATATGAAGTAATCATTTTATCATCTTTTTTGTGCACACATCCTTGGTACAAGTTAGTATTCATTATTCAAAATTAATAAATAATATATTCAATATTATTTTTATAAAACTAATATTTCTGTGCTATTACGTTAAGTTAATTTTTAATAATTTAAATAGGCCACCAATCAGTGATGAATTAAATATTGATTGCCTTCCAATCGGTGATTCAATGAGTAAGCCCCATAACTTGAAAGTCCTTCATTCTGATACATCTAAATTGAAAAATCAAATAAAAATGCTGACTGTAAGTCTTAACTTGTTTTATTTTTAGTATACATTTTATGCAGTTTGCTTATTAGTTGCATGTTTATTTATTATTTTTTATTTTATTTATTTTAAAGGATTATCTCAATAAAAAGGAAAATTACATATTTGCTGTTTCAATATAGATTATTAGATTAGGTTTAATATTTTATTTTTTAAATTATCTTCCATTTTTTTCTTGATTATTTTTCATTTTGAATTTTATTTATAAAATAATTATTTTGTGTTATATATTATTAATTATTTATTTTTCAAGAATGGAGAAACCAAAATACAGGATAAAATACAACCAAATAAAGAATCAGAATTACATTTTTTAAAAGAAGATTCATTATTAACGCACTCCAAAACACCAAACAATGAAATTGAAAAATATGTGAAAGGAGATTTATGTTTGTATGAAGTAAGCAAAAAACACATTGTCCAATTTTCTCAATAGTAATAATGCATATTTATTAATTATTATAGAGTTCTGGGTGGTGGAAATATGAAATATGTTACAATAAATACATACGACAAGTGCACAAAGAAAAAGGAAAACCGGATGAAATTGTTGTTTTAGGAATGTTAAATATAGATGAACATATAAAGTGGGTATTTCAAAATCCACAGAAAAAACTTAAACTTGATGCTTTTGGCAAGAAAAGAGTTGTATCTCATTTTTACTCTTCAGGATCTGTCTGTCAAAAAACTGGTGATAAACGAGAGACTGAGGTAATTAATAAATATCATTAAGTATTAACTATTCAACTGCCATCATAATCACTAAATTTTTTTTCAGGTACGGTATAAATGTGTAAAAGGTCAATATAATAAAGAAACAGTAGTGCTCTATTTGTTAGAGCCAAAAACATGTAAATATATCTTGATAATAGAATCACCGTCACTATGTGAAATAATTAATGGACCAATAGATGAATATGGAATATTCAATATAAAGCCACTTTACGACATAGAAAACATAAAAATGAATACTCCATTTCAAACACAAATGTTAGATATAACAGAGCAATATTTTGAAGAAAATAAAAAAAAAGATACAATTCCACCTGTTGAACAAGAAACTGAAGTATCTAATGATAAAAAGAAAATGATGAAAATTGAGTTATAAAGTATAAGTATTATTTTTGTTTGTTTATTATTTATTTACTGTCAAATACCTACAATGGGTCCAAATACATCATAGTTTTACTTGAACTAGTGTTATATTTTAATTTATAGTAATTTATGGTCTCATCTTAAAATGCTTGTTAATTCGGGGGTCGATATTTACACTTTCTTAATTTTTAATATTTGGAGAATGATTAACTATATGTATATAATTTTGAACAACAGGAATGAATAAAATTGTACATTAGGCAGTGTTAGAAATGGATCATTTGATGGACTATTTTTTCAAGTATTCAAAATTTTAGTGATCCGTTTCTAAAATGGTAAACCTTTTTTAATACTTGAGTTGTACCAAGCGTGGATCAAAAGAGTGCTCTTCCCCCCACCGTTCACAAAAAAAATATACTAGTGAAATTTTAGTAACAGAGTATTCGGGGTTGAAATGTCGATGTTTTTCTGGATTCAAATAATCATACTGCTTGGGCATTATATCGGATCTGTCTCGGAATTATCTTATAGCTAACACAGAGTAATATTATTCTTTGTCACTATGAGCTAACTAAATTTTCCATCTTCCACAGATTTCTAAACTAAAATGTAATACAATAAATTATCATAGGGTGATTTTAAAGCTTGGTTTATTGTACTATAGCTAGCCACGGCTCTATGGATTATATTATATTATATCGCGATAACATTAAAATAATGATCAACAGACTACTAATTATTCGGAATACTTTTTAAATACTTTTTTTGTATAAAATAATACGGTATTTTGAATACTTTTTACAAGTACTTTTTTTTTTCTTGTATAGGTATACTCTTATATATTACTAATTATTACTTATTATAATTATATTAATTTGAATATAATTTATAACAATTAATAGATAGCCAGATAGCCGATAGGTGTGTATTATCAAGATTATAATAATGTTAATTTATAAACACAGAATTGAAAAAATAATATTTTTACCAATGAAATCTAAATCTACTGAAAAAAGTATTCCAAAAATATTAGCAATACTTTTTTTGAATTATTCCACATACTTAGGAATATTATTATTTATTATTATTATAAAGTATTCGAATACATATTCTGAATACTTTTTTTTAATTATGAGGAATATGTATTTGAAATACTTTTATAGAGTATCTTACCCAAGTAGTCTTACGATTAGCTAGCATATACCAACATATAATTACTGGTTCGACCTAACACAGTATACACAACTATTATGGGTGAAAAAGCTTGGCATTTTAATAGAAGGCTCCTAATATATTGTGACGAATCATATTTAAAAAATATTAAAAATCCATAGTCAAAATTTTTTTTTTATAAACATCCCTGTGTGCAAAATATGTTCTCATAGACATTACATATTAGTCACATTGAGACATGTGAAGTTAATAATTTTGACTCAGAGACTACTCTGAGACACTACTGTGACGCTTAATGCCCGGTTTTGAGAAGTTAGTGCATGAGATGTCGCAAAATAATCATCTATGTTTCATCACATTGTAACTTCCATGAGAAATCAGTTTGAGATATCGCATAGACTTCACATAAAGTGCACAAAGTCCAGGGGAAATAAAGCAAAAAAATGTATTCACTGTTACCTGTCCGCGGATTGATCCACGAAGATTCGAACCTGCCACCCCTACATTTATTGACCTACGCCTAACCTATTGGGACACCACCTATCGAGATGAATGGTGAAGTGTAATATGGTGTACCTATATAAAATACATAAGCAGTCGGAAGGTATATAATAGTAAACTCCACGTACCCCCCCCCCCATTCTGTGGTACCTGCAACAATAACTAATAACGATTGTAGGATTGTTGCTATATATTGTATATTTATGTATTTTATATTATTATGTACTTATGGACGGTGACATATTTACTAGAGCATCAAAGATTATTGGACTCTCTATTCTTCATTGGCCATAATATACTGTATCAAGGGTGGACTGGCAAGGTCAGTTGGTTGGCACTGGCCGTATTATATAATATAATTTGGTCCGATATTATTTTTAAGAATAAATGAAAACAGACAAAAATACATATTATACCATGATGAATTGTAAACATTGGATATTAGTATATTACACAATGTTTATGCCTAAAATGATTGAATGTAGTGTAGAAATAATAATTTTATGTAGCTAACAAACAATAATTCACAATTTATTTTTGTTATCAGCTTATTCTATTTTCGTTCCGATTCTTTGCGATATACGGCTATACCCATTTACCCTGTACCCGCGCCACACTCTCAAGACTATCATAACGATACATAGTTGTCGATTAACATAATTTCAATATCGTGCATTCGTCTCTATAGTCTATAATATTATAGATACTTGATACTAAAAAAATAAAAACTAAAAAAGATAATAAAATGATATATAATATAATTATTAAAATTATAATTTGTATGGGTGCGATAATATATTGATTATTATTATGTATATACTATATATTATTATTTAAAAGTCCAAAAACCACATTCGGGTGTTATCATCATGTATTTTATATATAACAATTATTTATACGTAACTATTGTAACTTCTCAATAGTAACTTCTATGTGATATTACATATGGAATTCTCATACACAGCTACGGCGAGAAGTTATATATCGGTATCATAATGACATTTTATTCTTATACGTATATTTGAAGGTACATATAAGTTACAATGTACCGGCACTTTTGAGAACAAAAACAGACGGCACATAGACAGTAAGTTCTTCTTTATGCACACAGGGATGTTAAGTTCAAATATTGACAAAATACGTAATAATCACGAAAATGAGCAAATTATTTTGAATTAGAAATTCATATTTCATAAAAAATTTTATTTTTAAATCTAAGATATGAAAATGTAATATAAAATTCCTCATAATTTTTCCTACCTTTATCAAAAAAAAAAAAAATGTTTACAAAGAGTCAAATTAAATTTTTATGAGCGTTTGATGCTCATATTTTTACAACATTTTATATTCACTCGATTAATCAAAAGTAACGATTTTCTTATTTTATTGTAATACAAAAAACTAATAACTGTAGATACATAAAAATTTAACTGAATGTTTATTTTTTTCATTTTCTATACACCATTCTGAAAATGTTTTGATTATTTTTGAGAGGTTTACGGACATTGTATGTTTTAAATTTTTTTAGTTTTTTTTTCTAAAATTGTCAATTAAATTGATCAATTATATTTGTTGGGTAAAAATACGTGAGAGTTTTACAAGGCTCCTAATATGTTGAAAAAGCAGTTGAAAAATATTAAAAATACATTTTCACACTTTTTTTTTATAAGCATTTAAACTTTCGATTTTTACAAAATTTGAAAGTTCGTAATTATTTTGTAGCTGAAAATGTTTAAGATTGTTCAACTTTTATAGTTAAATGATTTTTTATGTAAAATATGGTTCCATGAATATAGTCAATTGATATATTCTTATCATTGTATAAGAAAAACGATGATATCGAATTCAAAATTAACACCATCCATTACAGCCACTGTAACTCACTGCACAGTGGATTGACACCCACTTGCCCACCTTTTTACAATTTATATTAACAATTAATGAAAACATTAATAATAATTTGTGTTTCATAATTAGGGTGGCCAGACCTCCCGTATTATACAGGAAAGTACCGTATTTCAAAAGTCTGTCCCGTTGTCCCGACATATGCTTCCGGGACGCTATTTTGTCCTGTTTTTTTTTTCATATAATAGAAAATATGTAAAAAAAAGAAATTAAATATTAAAAATATAGGTAATCTTCATATTAAATATCAATTACGGTCTACGGAGTAAATGTATATCGTATATAATTATGCATTTGTAGAATAGTGGTGTTTTTGCTATAATATTACGATAACCGATTTGTAATAGTATCGAATTCGATTATTCGAATATAAAGTTATTTTTGGTCTTCGTCGTAATGGATCACAGCCCGCATACAGACGATTTCGATCACGACGTCGCGACCAACGATGAGACATAATAATATTAAAGCACAATATTATGGTCAATATGTGTATATTATTTGTACCTAAGTAGAATATAGATTATGATATCTCTCGTAGTGGTGTCGGTCAAAATATTTATAATTTTTATATATTCCCAGTTTCTCAGTTAGTTAGTTAGCCAGTTAGCGTTCAGCGTTTCGTGTGTGGACATTTATTGTGTATAATATCTTAAAATCTATCATATCAGTTGAACTAATAAATAATAATTAAAATAATAACTATGCCTAAAAGAAAATGTGTTTTTAACGAAAGTTAAAACTGTAATACTTACAAATACCCAAGCATCAACTTCGAACACCAGTTAAATCATATATTTAATATTAAACTATATTATAGTTATCATAGTTTATACCTATAAGTACAAAAAAATATTTATAATTCTTAAAATTAACAATTGTGATAAAATATCCAAAATAGATTATTTTAGTAAGTTAAATATGTATATGTTAGTTATCAATTAAGATTTAAGACTTTAAATATTTAAGCATTTCATCAAAAATAGATGTTTATTCATAATAAAAAAATTCTTATCTTTGTCCAGTATTTTCGTATTTTATTTCGGGCCACCCTATTCATAACACAAATTTTAGAAAATAATAATAAATTATCATATAAAATGACTACTGTGAATATAACAATAATACTTAAGTAGCATAGGTAAATTTCAGCATAGGTAAATAACATAAAATTACTTTTTTTCATTTTAATATGAACAATGCATCCAATAAAAAACTTTGCACTTTCAAAATACAATACATGATATGGAGAATCATGACTAAACGGTAAATGAAGTGTTATTTTTTATCGATTAATTAATATAACTAATTATAAAAATATCAAAAATCTCAGGATTATTAAAAAAAGTTCTCCTCTACAATTTTTATAATAGTTAGTTTTGCTGTAGACCGTTTCAATAAGCCATTATACTAGAATTATCGAACTATTTGTAT